ATAAAAGCAACATAATGGGTTTGCGACCAGCATGGATCCAGACCAGCCTGCGCATCTGTTCGCTATCAGTGTTATACGGTTTGTAAGTGAACAGTTAAAGCCCAGGCCACATACAAAAATAGAAGTCTATGCCTTGATTATGAGCTGACAGATAGGGGAATTTTGTAAAGGGTGGCTTAGCCTGTCTGTTGTGATTACATGTCTAAAAAGTACAACATGATATATTTTAGCCACCATAGAATGTTTTATTTAGAAAAATATCTAGCTATTTTTATTTGTACAAAAATATAGAAATAGTACAATGTATAATTAGTAAAATTTTCACTATACATGTACAAATAATGAAACTATTAACAAATGTCGGTACAGCTGCGGTACAGTATTTAGAGCGTCACGGGTTCGAGTCCATGTCAGGATGCACTTTTTTCTCACCCTGTGACTGACAAACATTTGTATAGCCCAGTTAGAAATTAATTCACAATGCTAAGTAACCCTGGGAAATTCGAAGAAATATTTGCATACACAGCAGGTTTATAACTATTCAGTATTTAAACAAGTATAAGCGGCCGAATAGCTCAGAGGAACTCAAGAGCCGCGGAATCGTATTCCGAGTGTCAGGGGTTCGAGTCCCTGCCAGACTGTTACATATCAATATAAATCTGTCAAGAAAAATAGGAAGGAACTGTCTAAAATAATTATCACCCTAAATAGTATTCGGATAGGATTCGGACAGTCTTTGATGAAAAGTCAGAAGATGAACTTGTAAAGGGGGCGGGGTGCTAGTCTGATTACCATCATTTGATGTCTGACGAACCTCGTATCTAATATATATTGGTACGCATATAAACACCTGTTTGCTGAATTGAATATCAAAAATGTTGCAATTAATTAGTAATTATATCTTATGCGTATGTAAAATAGGATTAAAACTAATTGATCTTCGGCGTAAAGCATGTAGAAATCTTACCAGTATTCACCGCGAGGTCACAATTTAAACTTTAAAACTTTAATGTTAATATCACAATAATACTTCTTTATATAATATTTCTATTCTTTGACAAGGACACAGAACATCTCTTACATGTTTAAGAAACAACAAATTTACATAATATATCTATCTAAGATATTCTTTTACTTCTCAATAGTAAATAACAGACGCAAAACACGGTACTTAAGCGCTTAGACGAACGCAGACGCACGCTAAACGTTTCTGGGAATAAGAAACGCACGCTTTCAGACGCACGATAAACGAAAAACGATATACGATAACGATAAACGTTAAACGCTTGTAAACGATGCACGCTTGAGAAAGCGTTTCAGCAAACGCACGTTGCACGCTATACGCACGCACGTTACACGAAAAACGGACGCACGAAAAACGCTATTTTTGACAACCGAAACGTTCACCCTACTGTATCAGTCCCATGTCTATCTAAACGAAGGAATATAATATACAAATGATTATAGCATAACATTTTGAAAAAAATATTCACAGACTTACAAATTAATTCGCATGCTCTTTCTTTTTACATAAGGATTAAACCATTTAAAAATCAGCTTTTTAGTTAACGTCAAATTTAGGGATATAATCTTCTCATAAAATATTTTACCTATATAATCACTTAGACCATAACAGTGCTACTTAAAATAAATACGTATATATAATTATATGTTAGCTGAGAACCGTTAAAGGTTTCCACTTCGGACGGATTTTTTGCAATATCTAACCTTTTGTTGTAATCAGACTTGTAATTCTTTTCACAACGAGAGCTTAAAATATAAGGTCATTTAATTCTTACATAGATCAACATGTGCAAATAAAAGGAAAAAATATCATTTAAAGATAAAGAAATATTAAATTAATGTACAATGTACTTAAAAAATTGAACATCTTCTTTTTGTGATTCTTAGCCCGACTGTAGTTAAACTTGTAAAGTGTTTTTTATTATTTGATCATTATTCACAATAAAAATTTCGTTCTGGAATAATGAGTAAGCAAAAGACATTTTGCACTAAAGTTATTGGTCCACAAATGCCGATTTTTTTTCTAAAGAAATCTGAGATGAGTCCTTTAAGGACAAGTAATAGATTTTCCTGTTCAACACGTAAATTCTGATTAAGTGTTAATGTCTGAGATAGAGTCACTACATGGCTTCGTCATTTGTCTAATGATGTCAAAGAGCTTAATGGAATGTTTTATTAATTGCATTACAATGTTTATTATGAATGGTAAAAGATTCTTCCTATGATGCTGGTAAAGTCTGACAAGGTACGTGATAAAACATTAGATAATCTTAATATAACATCACGTGCTCTTTCTTATCTATACGTTTTCGTTATTATAAAGGAAATAGAAAGAACATTTGTTAAATTTACGTTTAGAAACGTAAAATATTAATTTTTGCAATCTACATGAAATTGATTTTTAATTTTTGCTTACATCACTTATTTAATTGTGATAACACGTTTTGACACCCTAGTAAAAGTAATAGTCACTAGCACAAATTGAATCTAAAATAAGCAGGTAAGCAAGCATGATATGTCGATCTTTGTAAAGGTTTTAATATTTAAACATTTTGTTAACCGTTATAAAATCTAAGTAATCGTTAACGCGTTGTAAGAATGTTCTCGATGGATATCGCAGAGACCAACTGAGGATCAAATGTGAAACGCATTAATTAATTATGCCTAGCAGGTAATAAAAATATAGAAATGCTGCTAAAGTCCGGTTTATCTATATGAAAGAAGAAGTAGAGAGTTTGATGCTAAAGCATCAAGTCGCCGGATAGAAAAACGATTGTATTATAATAAAGATAAAGAAAATTTCAATTAAATGGTTTATGTATAAAGACAAGAATAAAATTTGTTGAGTAACTGTTTATTCACAATAAAATATCATGATTGAAATAAACGTGCATAGCAATATTGTCAAGAAACTGTTAACATCCCTAGATAAGTATTATCACTAAGTCCGTCATGAATAAAAACAGATAAATAAAATTCAATAAAAGTAAAGATTTAACAAACTTGCAAAGTGACTAGCAATAAATAAGAAATTTATTGTATGAAACAATGCAATTTTACTATAATTTTAGAAAATTCTGACTACAAAATAACATAAACAAAGTTTTCAGTAGGTTTTTTATCAAAAGTAAATGAAACCGTAGACCAAAAAATCTTCCAAAAGTTATAGACATAGTTTAAACATTTGTTACAATGTGTGGCACTAAAAATTATAGAACCACATCATTTACATAGTGACTAAGTATATCAATTCAAACTTAAGTATGAGATCTCAGATTGTATTAGAAGCGTACCAGTATTCTGTAATACATTCACAGTGGTTGTATTTACCGGATCATTATCAACTCAATAGTAGACAATCTATAAACAATCTATAAACTCAATAATGGTGGATTTACACATGAAATCAATCAAGTACTGTATGACCTTTAACTTAAGATTTTATTTTTTAAATCCACCATAAAGGGAAATACTGTTTTACTTATGCAACTCTCTAGTAGTCTTTGGTCTTTAGCATTCGTGTATATTTATGATTTAATAATGGCTAAAACATAATGTCCTTGAATGATGACACATATTTACAATGACAAGATGAAACAAAGAAAAAAAAAAAATAAAACAGAAATGAGCAATTAGCAGGCATATTTCACATAAAAAATAAAATTTATAGATCACATATTGGCACTTGTTTGAAGATACATATATACAGAATGAAATTCAAAAATAAATTTAAGTTATTAACAAATACATATAGATATTTAGCCAAATATCTTTGTAACATCTTGCTAATCTTATATCAATACAATGCAGAAAAAATGCACTTTTTGTAACAAAAATGGTCTAATAACTTTAAATTGTGAAGTTTTGAAAGCAATAACAACTTGAATAGATACAGCTATAAATGAACCCTGTATAAAAAAATTACTCATATGAGCTTTAAAATGATAAACAAGTTCAGTGATTGTGACCACTTATTAAATGTATCTAAAAGAAGATAATTAACAGTACTTAGTAATAATCCATTAAAATAATACTTAAGGTAACTGTAAATAACAAAAATAGATAATTTTTAGGCACTCTAAGTCTTTGGTCTAAGTGTTTATTAGTATTAACAATATGGATGGAATATGATTTTACAGAAACATCACAACAAATAAACAATGACAGTAAAAATATGAAACACATATTTACAAAAGTCATATAAAATTAAAAAAATTTTTTTTATCTTAACAAAATTTTCAAAGCTGTAAAATAAGCAATTTCCATAAACTAATAAATGCTCCTCAAAAGCATTGTCATATAAACATTTCTCTGATATTTAATACAAATATATATCGTATAAGTATTCATGAACAAATAAATTACTAGAATTTTTTCAAGTAGGTTTGGCATTTCATCCATGTACAACTTCAATTTTTGGCTTGCAAAAAATATTTTCTATCTGAGGCCATCTAAATTAGGATACATTCAGGACATAAAACATTCACAAATATATTATTAGCTATACATATTTTTTGACTGGTTATATGGCCCTATATAAACGGTTGTTTGTTAATATTACCTTAGCCGCTGGGCAAGGGTTATATTGCAAACAACCGTTTATATACGGCCATATAACCTGTCAGAAATATTTATAACTAATTTATAATACAGTAAGCATCATTTTTGGAGGAATAAAGCGAGTTTTTTTTATAAATCGATATCAGCCGTGTGTATAAAACTATATAAACGTCACGATTATCCAATAAATGGCGACGTTACAAACGTGCAGTATTATAAAGCTTTATATACTGTCAATGAAAATTAATTGAGCATTCATAGAAAATTTTGGCACTTGTTTGAACAGACATATTTACAATAAAGCAAATATAAATTTCAGTAGAAAACAATTATATCAATTATATATATAACATTTGTAAAGTCATCTTTCATTGGATAATCGTGACGTTTATTAAGCTTTATATACACGGCTTTAAAGTCTTTGATTGTAAATGAATTGTTAAACAACAAAATGGATGGAATTTAATTTATAAGAATTGTGAAAAAATTTAACAATGTCACAGTTAAAAAGAAACAAATATGTAAAGTATGTAGGCATTTCAAATTCAAACTTGAACATTTATGAAACACATTTACCTTTTCAAGAGTAAATATATAGTAGAGAAATATCTTTCTATTGTTTGAATATGCAAAAACAACTACACATAAAATGGATCTTTTTAAACAGGTAGATATCAATCATACTTTCTTCAAATCAATCAAATTATTTCTGATCAATTTGCAACTTATAGCAACTGGCAATTGCATTACTAAATCTCCTATAACATCATCGTCTGTAGCATTATTGTCAAGAGCAAATTCAAAAATCACTTCAGCATCTCTCTGAAATATGGTTATTGTTTTCCCCTCCTCGTCTTCATGTTTTGCGACTTCAACCTTCATCCTTATAGACTTGTCAGATGTGGTTCCATTGCAAGAAGGGCATTTTCCTCCTTGCAATTTTTTCTTTCTGCAGCCTTTAACATAAAAAAGTAAAAAGAAATAACAGACATAGGTAAGTGTATAATTACATCTTGTTAAAGCATATTTGCATGGTTGCTTATAATTATATAAAATTTAAGAAAAAATACATTTTTAAAAAAGAAATCAATTAAAATTCTGGAAACAAAGTGATCCCTCGGAAGCATCAATCACAACAAAATAAAATAAGAATTGCAGACTCGGTTTGATTGAGTCTGTACATGAGGGATAATGAGTACATGCAACATCCCTCACGCCCCCTAGCACCGGCTTGAGCGGTACTCAATTCTCAACACTTTATAGTGTTGGCATCAATGATCCCGAAGGACCAGAAAATATAACAACACTGAAGTGAGGCACGGGGCAACTTTTTACGGCTGCCACACGGCACTTGACACCTGATGTTGTGAAGTACAAAATTCTGGAAACAAAGTGATCCCTCGGAAGCATCAATCACAACAAAATAAAATAAGAATTGCAGACTCGGTTTGATTGAGTCTGTACATGAGGGATAATGAGTACATGCAACATCCCTCACGCCCCCTAGCACCGGCTTGAGCGGTACTCAATTCTCAACACTTTATAGTGTTGGCATCAATGATCCCGAAGGACCAGAAACTATAACAACACTGAAATGAAGCACGGGGCAACTTTTTACGGCTGCCACACGGCACTTGACACCTGCTGTTGGTTGTTTTTTTTTTCAAAATTAAAATGTTATTACAATTAAATCTAGTACATTTCATTTATAAGCATTTATATATTTATCCTTTTTTTCTTATATCGTGACATAATCAGTGAGGTAATCAAAGCTTTGATCATTCAGTCACACATTTGTTTTAGTTTAAGCTTTACTTGGGTGATGACCATGTTTCTATATATTACACCAGTAATGGTTAATTCCAGGAAGCGAATTTGAAAAAAATTTATATAAGTTGAAAAAACTTCTTTCACAATCAAGTTTATATAAATATGTTTAAACTAAACAAATTAAAGGTTCAAAAATACACTAACCAGAGTTGGTACCAGCATCATACAGGGCCAAATCATATATGCTTGTCACAAACATATCTTCTGACAGACAATCCTTATCATTGTTTTCATTGAAATCTGGGTCGTCGTTGAAAACAAAACCATCTGAAGATGTGCAAGAAACATTTTGGAGTTTGTGATTTGCAACATACTTAAAAGACAAAAATACACAAAAATACACAATATTCTATGAAAGGCATTTCCTTTAGAAATCTGAGTATAAATTTAACAAAATGTTATTAAACTAAGCAAAAAAAGGAGGGATGTAGAAAAACATGTCATGTTATTAAATGTAACAGTTACATCATTTCAATTTGTCAACAAACACCTTATGAGACCATATCAATAGTAAAATGCTTGTAATTACCTCGAAGTGAGTGTCTTTAGTAGCAGTCAGCTGCTGTCTACTATTGTACACTTTGTTGTACACAGATGTCAGCTGAATTACTGAATTGGGCACATATTCTTGCGCTGCTAACTTGCCGAAAAGAGAAACTTTTACAGGAGTTCCAGATTCGTCTTTCAAACCTAAAGACCTTACAGCTAACGACCCTTCCCTTTGAAATTTCAGTGGTGATACCTAAAGGCAAAATATATATTTATTGAGAAGAGATTTTAATAATGAATGAGTTAAATAGAATAAATAATCTGCTAACCTTGAGCAAATGTGAAATTATTCTTCAAAGGTTTTAATAATGTTAGTATTCAATCTGCATGACTGAAAATCAATGTTGTATGAATGAACATATTGAGAAATGCTAATATATACCGGTACCACTTCATTACACTTTAATGTACAAGAAAAGCATTGATGCGAAGCATCAAAGGGCGTCCAAGCAAGAAAAGCAGCAAGTGAAGATGAACTAGTAGACATATGATGACAAAATATTCTTATACACTTTTCAATGGTTAATTGGTTTTTACCAGAATTGTATATCACTTATGAATGAGCGTGTTCATTATGAACTTTGATTGGCATGCTAGAGATTAGAATATTACTTTTTATTTTTCTTTATGATCGTGGTTATTAATAGCAACGGATATACATGTATACAATTATTTATAATCCATATGTGTAACGCATGATCAACACGTACCACACCTTTGTAATTGTCCCTTATTATGTTATCGCTATTAGCGAAGACCCCCTATTAAGGTATCTGTTCACACTTAGTAAAAATATGACACTGGTTATATTAACATGTTGATTATGTTGAGCATAATTGTTTATTATACAATAATTGTAATATCTATTAATTTTAATTAAAAAAAAAATACAAATATGAATATTGTTTTCTTTTCTTTTTTGTGTTATATGTTCTATTTTAATACTGAGTTTTTATGTTTACGAGCCTACTACTCTTTTTTTTATTAAAATTGTAAAATAAATTTTAAGAATTCAATTGTCATATTGACTGACGATTTTAAGTCAAAACTTAACTGGAAAAAGTCAGTAAATTATCGTTTATCTTTCAATATATACTATTGTTTATTCTTAAACCATGTACATGTACATTTGTATTTTTCTTTATCATTTTTTAAATTATCAATCAATTGAATAATTCATAAAATCTAATTTGTATTCCTCGGCATCTTTACTAAACACCGATAACAAATTAAATAAAATGTTTCAAAGTTGATAATGTCATATTAATACCATAAAAATGTACCCTTTTCTCAATTATTGTACATATTTATCGTTTTTATCTCATATAGATAAAATGAAACATGCTATTGTTGTTGTTTTTTTTTTAATCGTAACGATATCAAACATCTACTCCAAAACCGGGAGAGACCGGACAATAAACGTGTGGTACTATTCGCCGGTCACTATAGACCGGGAGAGACCGGGAATTACCGATAGGAGTGATAAATAGATATATCTATAAATAGATTTTCGGAATATTTAGGTCATCAACTGATCATTCTAGGATACATGTAAAACAACAATAACATACCCTGATAACCCACTGTGTACTACAAAATGATAAATAAAAAAACCCCGAAGAGCGCGATTTATTGACGGAAAAGGATATTTCATTTGAAAATGTTTGCATTGCGAAATTCTCCAGTTCGCTATTCATTGCAACATATCGCGACATTTAATTCTTAATTAATAATCAAGCACCCTCATACCGATCGGAATTATCGGCTTTTATTATGTCCGACTAAAAGGCTCGAGAAGTTGCTGTCGCCCTTTCACAAAATCTGATTTCATTCCATAAGAGCGCCGCGCTTCGGCGCGGACGCCAATAACACTGGTGTTATCTAGCATAGTTATTCCACCAGTTTCATTTTGATTTTATTGTAAAATTAAATTACTTTGTTTTGATCCTGCCCATAATATTTCATTAATTAATTGTAATAACTGTGAAGTAAATCTTTAATGTAAAAATATATATTCCATTTAAGAAGAAAAAGAAAATATGAAAATGTTATAACAAACTGACCTTCAAGACTTTTGCAACAACCGTTGACTTCTGTGGGCTGTCCAAAGCATCCTTAATGGAACGTTTCGAACCTGCCACAGGTTCATCCTCCGGAAGGACTACTTGATTATTGTCTATGTACGTATTCACTGGTTTCGCATAACTAATATTTCTTGAACTCACGCACCACCAGCTTTCTCCTTTCTTTATCAAACCTACAATCTTTAGCGTTACCCCAACACGAACCATACAGAATTTGTGTCGTTGATATACTCTAATATGGTGTATATCAGTGCCATTTGCTCCAATGATGTTGAAATAGCTAATTTCATTCGAACCATTTTTGTAGGTAATTAATTCTGTTGACTTCTTTATTACTTTCAAAGTCAAAGTCTTCGTTTCTTGAGCAGCCTATACATAAAAGAAGAGGGCAATGAGAAACTTTCACCAATCTTACAATTGTTTAATTTCTACTGATATCATAATGAATCCAAAAAGTTATTTCAATAATCAATATTGGCAAGAACCTTTATTCAATGTGGACTCCCAAAAATATTGACAGGCATTTCAATATAGAAAGCTATCAAATGCAACTAATTAATCACATGATCATATTGCAAGAAGGCACCTCTTAATGACTATACAATATTCAATATTGAAGCTTAATAATGTTATGTTTGTCACTACATGAAACTAAATTAGGAAACATAGTAATGTTTGGTAATGGTGAAATTAGAAAATTTAGAAATTTAGCAATTTAGAAAGCTTATATGGTGGTAACTGCTCATAATTTAGGTAATCTGAAACAGGTATTTGAAGTAGAGAGTGTATTGTAAAACCATTAATATTTCGTGCAGCTGTACCAGTGGGGGCGCAAACAACTACTGGAGATACACCAATCTGGGTGCTTGTATATAGTTCTAAATAAGCAATCAACATCCTTGTTACAAAGGATTTACCTACACCTGCACCCCCAGATATAAATAAATGAAGCACATTTTCAGTTTGTGCAGGAGACTTGTTTTCAAAAAAAGACTTTACATACTGGAGTACATTAGCTTGAGAAACAGACATTTTCTTCACATTTTCACAAAATTCACCCTCAGACATTGAACAACACTCAAGGGAATGTATATCAGTAGTCTCAGCACTTCCGGTTAAAATATCTAAATGTTCATATGACTTTGTATAAGTAGCAGAGGCAGACATAGAAAAAATACTAACATTTGCATGATCATTATTAGTATCATTTTCACACACGTTGCTTATGCCCAATTATTACATTGGCTATGTTGTGTTGGACTTTCTTTAGAGATTCTGTTTTTCTCTATTTTACTACTTTTGGTCAGCTAAACATCATGCTTCTCACATTTAATTTTCTGCAGTGTTTGGCAACCTCTATTCTTAGGTTGTGTTGGAGGAGTAGAACACCTTGTAAACCAGGAAGCAAATTTATATAAACTCCAATCTTCTAAAGACTCTGGGCGATCATGATAATAATCAACAATATTCGTGTGGAAAACATCAGTACAGTCATCACTTAACTCTTCTATATCTTTAGAAGATTTCAATATTTTAAATCTTTTATCTGGTTTTCTTGTGTTCAAAAGACAATGACCCCTTTTGAAAGCA